GTAAAATAGGAGTTGAACGCGATATACTAGAATAATATATAATTTTTCTTTATCGAATTCGAGATATGCGTGTGATGCAATTATTTTTAAAGTGATGCACTGTAATTTTTTTTTTTTTTTTTAGGGTGGGTCAATAAAAATAGGTCAATTTTTGCTTAACAGTGGTTAAAAAAAGAAAAAAACTGGTTACAAATCAACCAAACAATTAGATACAAATCAAAAATAAATCAGATTCTGTATTATTTAACTACCGTTTGGATTTTTAAGACAGATTTGAATGGTAATTAAGTAATACCAAATGAAATTTGATTTATTTCTAATATCTAATGCTTTTGGCCAAACAGTTGTGCAAAAATACGAAATTGATCGAGCCGTGTATAAGCAAAACTAAGTGGAAACCGTATTTTCGCGTAATAATGCCATGAGCTTATCTCAAAAATTATACCACCTCATAATAACGCGCATGACTTCGAAATGACGCCAACATGAGTCCCGAAATAACGCGCTTGCTTAGATCAATGTAAATTAACTAGTAAAGTTCTTCCTGTGTCGGACGATCAAATAACGCACGCGTAATCAAAATAACGCGTAGATGAGCATTATTACGCGAACATATGTTATAATATTCCGTGTTGTGCTAGGAGAAAATAAATTATTTTTTATTTGGAATCCATATTCAAAAATCTAATGTTTACTATCTCTTAATTTGTCTTACAGGCAAAATTTTGCCTATTAATTGTCTAGCTATTAAACCATATTTAATCCGTCTATATTTCAATTCATTTTAAGCTACAATATGATAGTGGACGATCTAAGGGATAGTAACTGCTTCAGAAAACTTGCAAGCATTTACATAACAAATTGGTTTAGAATTTTATGAGATTCAAATCTTACGGTTTTTACGAACTATATACAGTAATCTTCTAAATAAAAACCACACTTCACCGACAGTGTAAGGTAATTGTTGTTTGCAAAATTCTTAATAGCTCGGCTTCACAACAACAAACAAGACTAATTTCTGCATATAATTAATCAAATTAAACAATTTTTTTTTTTTTATTAAAAAGATTAAATGTAATCATAAATATACTTTTAATAATATAATTCTATAATAATTTTTTTTTTTTGTTACAATACATTTCTATATAGTAACGAATGACGTATTAAATACCACCCCGTACCCTAGTTCTAAATTTTCCTTTCCTTCTCTTGCGAATCATTTTATTTCTAACATTCCTAAGATGTGAGAATCTCTTTTTCCCATAACTATTCAAAGAATTTATTGATGAAATATTTTCAACAATCCAACGACACTGTCCGTACTCAATTACATTTATATGATGTCCAATTTCGTGCGTTCTATTACCACAAAGTGATACTGTGGTCGAATTTTCATCATAATTCTGATCATTTGATGCAATATTTATCTGACAAAAGTCACTTACAGATTGATCATTAACCATTATCTTTGGTGTGTTATTAGAAAATTGATTAATTATTATAGGATTCGACAATGCAGTTTGCTCGTCCTTTGGGACTTGCCATTGTTCAGTCGAAATATGTTCTTGAGATGTATCATTAATACGTCGAACCTTTGACATCATCTTATTTAATTTTTGTTTATTTACGGGGTTTTGCTCGTAATCATTTTCCCTTTCCTTACGCTTGCCTAAAATAGATATCTCGGACGGCTTTTTAACCAAATCCTTCTTAATTACTTCCGTAGTCTTAACATCGGAGGTAGAAGTGATAGCTTCAGGTTCCTCTAATATCATAGGCTCGAGCGACGTTGAGTCAGTTGAGGACATATCAGTCGTTTGCAAATTTTCTTGATCAGATGGAAATTTCGTTGATGTAATGAAACACTTTGTAGCGATAGTCGATTTGTTATCTTCAGCCTGTTCTGGAATTTCG